CTGAAAAATATACTTGCAGGTGAAACATAAATAATACTCCGTATTACTGTTTGAAATCAGGAAAAACATAGTTTTTCGAATGATATCATGGCATCAAAGAGTCCTCTTGAAATAAGTGACGTAAGTACGTCACTGTAAAACCGCATGATATATTAGGTGTAAGTATTTTTCAAAAAAGTTCGTGAAACTCGACATTAGGTAATGGCAGAAGACGACAATTCCAAGAAGGACAAATCTTTATTAATATCACCAGAATTTCACTGCATTGTCATTTAATGTGTCAAAAAGCTGTTAAGAACAGTGATAGTGATAAACTTTTTCAATTTGGGTGGGAATAAAGCGGCCAGTGAATATGTTTAATGGTCAGAGAAAACCAAAAGTTTGCTCATTTATGGTGATTTGGTGGTACTACCCTCTTACTGATAAAACATGAAATAATACAGATAAGCATAAAAAACAAAAGTGGTGTAATATTACGTGATTTGTCATGATTTTCAACTTAAACATGCATGTTTAGATGCTTTCTTCCAAACAAAGCGTTTGTTTAGATGAGTATAAAGAAGAAAAATATAGGATAATTCCGCGTCAGATAAATGAATGTAAGTGTGTGATTTACATTCGTTTATTTGTTGGAATGGAGATCGCTATATAATAGAAAACTAAATAAAAAAAAAACAACCCAAGCATTTTGTTTGAAATTAATTCCGCGTTTAACACAGATTAGATTAATCCAAAATGTATTTTCGTGTTTTTTAGATAAACAGCTGGGTAATTTTTAGAATGATTGCAGTATGCTAATAAATATTATCTATCACCATTTATAAAATAAATTATTTTAGTAATACACTGAGAATACGAAGGGATGCTATTTGTATTGGTAGTAAAAATAAGAAGCCGATACAGCGTTGACGTTTGATTTATTTGGCAAACTTGATTAACCTTTCAATATCTAAGATTAACTGTTTTTGTTTTTTTCAATAATACTGATAAAAATCAATGAAAATCGGAATTCAGAACGAAATATTTTTTGAAAACTAAAGTTATCTGCCTTTAAAAGAAATAGAAATGTCTACATTTTTTAAAAGAAACAAACAATTAGTCACAAAGAATATTATACAAAAAACTGTTTACCGTCTCTGAACGAGAGACTCGAGTCGCTCATAGAGAGATCCTCATTTCGTATCCAGTTTCTGAACGAGAGACTCGAATCTCTGAACGAGAAACTCGAATCTGTCAATAGACATGGTTAAAATTTTCAACATATTTCAGTCTTTCTACGAGAGACTCGAGTCTCTCAATTTTTCAGTTTTATTCATTCAGTCTCTCTGTGAGAGACTCGAATCTCTGAATTAACAATTTTATCGTTCGAGTCTCTCATACAGAGACTGTGAGAGATCCATAAAAACACCTA